TTCTTATGAAAATCGCATCACAACGATCACTAGTAAATACATCAATTGCTTGTTGAAAATGCTCACACTTACTAACTTGCTTATTCTTACTTACTTACTTATAGTTAGTAAGCCAATTTTTAACTCTTGTCTCTGACATAACTTGCTTGAATTGTTTGATTTTCATTTCTGATTCTTAGCTTACATTCAGAACAACCGCTTCTTCACTTTAATCTTTTCAACTTTCAACGCAATCAACGCAAAGCAATACATCCAGCAAACATGCCTTCCCAAGCTGGTACGTTACTACATTCTTTTACTATATTTTTATTTTTTTAATTTGATTTGTGAGTTTACAAAATTGCAATTTTATAATTAATTTAAAAAATGGGTAAGACAAAATATTTAATTACAATTGACTGTATTCTTTTGTGAAAATTATAGGCACTGTATTGGCTTTTCTTTCTTTACAACCATTATTAATAATTTTTGCTTTTTGCAAAAGCATATAAGACTCATCTTTATATTTATTATTCGTTTATATATTAATAAAAAATCCATTTTAACAAAACAGAACAGTTCTCTGATTTATTTTACTAAAAAGCACAAATTAATTTTTGACATTTAATTTTTTTCAACAATTCATGTTTTTTTAAATGCAGTAAAAGATTAATTAATAATAACTTTATTTTTTTAGAACTTTATGATCTTTTTGATTAATCTGAAAATGACAAATCACTTTTTATAGTATAACTCATGCATTTTTGTTACTGTAAATTACAATAATCGACCAATTATATCAAAAATAATTTGCAACTTTTTGCGTGATAGCAATTATCTACAACTGCACAAAAAAATACGCGTATTGCTCACTTTTGGTTTTAAAATTAAGCAAAATAATTTAATGAAATTTTTTATGTGAAAAAGTTATAAACTTTACAAGTCTAAAGTGTTCATTTTCATCACAAAAGACGAATTTTAAATTGCTAAAATATTGCAAACTAACTGACTGATACAAAACTGTTACACACAATTATTACAAAATGTAATATTATTTCAAATTGAATATCATTCATACTTTTATCTTAAAACATTGCCATAAGCTTCAAAAATTTGCTTTTGGAAATTTGTTTGTTGTAATTTTAAATCTGATTGCAACTGTTGCTTCATAATCCATTATCGAGTTAAAATTTTTGAATAAGCCAATTTTAGAATTTTAATGAGAAAATGAGCAAATTAATATTTTATGCAAAATTGAGTAGTCTCAATTTAACCCAATTTGATCAGATCCAATCTGATCTATTCAAAATTACTAATAAAATCAGTATATTTTTACAAGTTTAAATTCTTAACCTTTTTTCTGCATTTTTCAAACGTTGGGTTTCGAACTTAACAGCTGTTAAAATGACTGAAAAACAGAATAGAAAAATTGTAGTTTATCGCTTCAAATCTATCATATGTTTATCGCCTCAAATCTATCTATCATATGCTATTTGTCTTGCGAAAACAGAAAATTATTCATCTTGAATATTTCTGATGAAAAAGTATTTGTTTTCGTTGTTTGGATCGTCCAAAGTTTCTATAAAAATATACTGTAAAATTATAATAACTAAAATGTTCATTGGAACTCACAGCTGACTAAAACTATTCAATTTTTAATTAAAATTATGAAAATTTGCATGTTTAAACAAGGGAATATATTATAAACAAGAATAAAAGTGACAACTATTTTTTTGTCTTTTAGTGCTTAAAATTTATAAAATAGACTTAAATGATAATTTAAGAGTATTTTGCTTAAAAAGTTATGCTTGAAGAAATTTTAGTGATGATTAAACTTACTGTGATACAGTAAGCATTCAGTTATAGAATTGAAAGAGATATTTCTACTCTACGACGAGGAATTAGATGGTAAGATAGACGGTACTCAAATTGGGGACGTAGTCCGGGCAGCAGGGCTTAAGCCCACTAATGCCATGGTGGTGAAAGCCAGTGGCAAGGAGTACAAACGGAAAGGGGAAAAACGTATAACTTTCGAGGAATGGATGCCAATTTATGAACAAATCAGCAAGGAAAAGGCATGTTAATTATTGTCATTTAAATAAGTAAACGTATCACGTGCGTTACTAAAAACTTTACGTGCTGTTTTTTTGAATATTTGTTTGTTTTTTTTTTCCAAGCTGAAGAATTGGAAAGAAGTGTAAGCGTCACGGTCAAGTTAATTATGAAGTGCAAACGTTTATTCATTTATTTATCTGATATTTGAAATGCATATTGCAACACGACAGTGAACACAAACAATTAATCAAATAAGGCTTAGGAAATTTCAGGAGCAAGGAAGTTTTCAAGACTTTTTTGAAGGACTAAAAGTTTTCGATAAGGAAGAGTCTGGAAAAGTACGTCATTACGTGACATTTTCGACGTGGATCTAAATTCATTTTACATTCAGTGCACTATTTTTTACAAATTCATTTCAAAATTAGTTTCTTGCTAAAAGCACTTTTTGAATGATTCTCTTTCAAGAATACTACATTGATCATATAAAATAGCAGTTTAATAATTTACACTGTTTACAAATAATATCAATAGCTATTTAGTGGTAATCAATGGTCCATTAATTAATTAATTAATTAATTAATTAATCAAAAACTGACTTTTAACATTAAATAGACTTTTAACTATACATCCTTAACTTTGATATTTTTAATGTTCAGCATTAGAAGTAATAGTTTATATTTTAGCGTAATGAATGTGATATTCACTTATCCTCAGTTATCGATAATTACCTAACACATAGATCAATAACTTTTCCAGATTTTGGCCGGTGAATTGAGGCATGTTTTGATGGCTTTAGGCGAACGTTTGTCAGGAGAAGAAGCTGATGATATTATGAGAGGAAGTGAAGATGCGGAAGGAATGATCAATTATGAAGGTATCAGAATTTGCATATTTAAATGCCTTATGTGCAAGGCTACCACTAATTTGTACTTAAGAGTTAGCATTTCAGCATTTGTGAAGAAAGTACTTGCTGGACCGTACCCGGATGAGTGAATGGCAAACGGATGATCTGAGAAGTAACCTTATTTACTTCCAATGATTTTACCTGACTTCAACTAATTTCTTTCTTATTAAAACTGTTTCAACGAAAAATTCTTTTTGCTTGCTTATTTACGATAGTAATATGTATATCTGGCTTCTTCCTTGTCAACAGAGTTGAAAACATAAGATTAAACAACCAAATAAATACACTAAACTATTAGCACATGAGCATCTGCCTTGAATCACCAATCTGATTCTTAGGCTGATTTTGGTAATATTCAAAACACTACCCCATACTTTCGGTTTGCAGCATTTTCTGTATTCAGACATGTCTCGCAATATAGTCAAACTCTTTAATGATTTATAGAACAAGTAAATTAACAGAATGCCCAATTCAAGCCACTTGCGATTAGCCAAATAAGGTCTTGCGATTACTTATTCCTGCCATAACTTTGAAATGTAGAAATGATTCTGTAACTTTATAAATCAAGTAAACAACATGTTTGCTGTATTCTGATAAACTGGACTATTAACATGTTTTCGATAAATAAATAAATAAATAGTAAGCCTGCATGCTAAATGAATATTTTGCGTCAATCACAGTTAGTTTAGTACTGCAGAGAAAAAATTCTGAGAAAAAGCAATGCAGGTTTTTTACCAAGAACAGCTGACTCATATACTGCAAATGATTAAACACTCCCAATCGATCACAATAAACTGTTCCGATGCCTGATCGAGAATTCCCACTCTACAAAACTTTCGAATATAAAATTAAATTTGGAAATCATTTCAAGATTTAACGAGTATTCGAATAACAAGAAGGACCTATATCAGAATTAATGGTTAAATTAAAAAATACTAGTTTAATGTTAATATTTATCGGGCACAACACTGCTAAAGAACTGAAATAGACGTTAAATATGTAAAGGAAGTGAGGCCAAAATGCCATATTTTTTTAAACAATAATCCGAGCAAGTCAATGCACTAAGATCATCTCCTCACATTTTTCAATAAAATTTGAACTTAAATTATTAGTATTTTCAGAACTTTTTAAAATGGCTAGTGGCAAGACTTGATCATGCTATGAAATCTAAAAAAGATCAATTTGGAAAATATTTCTCAATTATAATATCGAATGTATGTTTGTATGAAAGAAACACTAAATGATCTAAAGCATCCATTTATTAGCTTCCATTCAAAAAAATTATACATATATCATTGTACTTCGACTACAATTAAATTATCTCTCATAAGCACAAATTTAAAAAAAACATAATGCACATCTATTAAGCTTTTACTAATGAATGAAATAGAGCATTCATTTTCCACTAAGCCGCAGAGCTGTCGCAACTATTTGTTCTTTGCTTTCTTTTTTTAAAATTTCAGTTTCAGCCGCTTTTTTTGCACTTTGTGACCGAATCAGTAAAAATAATGCCAAATATGTGAACAATCGTGCACGACCACGATTCACAAAACCTAAAAAACCATAGTACGGATCTTAAATGAACGATTATTTCTATACGAATTTCAGGAATTCAGAATAGTTTTTGCATACTAACTAGTTATTTAAATATATAATAAAATATACAGTGTATGGTATATTTTTTATAAGCAACAATGCATAATTTTCTATATTTTTTGATAACAATACCTGCTTACTTGGATGAAAAGAATTATTTTGCCTCAAAAAATCCATCATAATGAGCTTATTTCAATTTTCTGTATTTATTTATTCCTTTACACACCTGTTAAGAAAAACGAAATGTTTCTATTAAAATTGTAGTATTTCAAGCAAACAAAAAAGATAAATTCTTTAGTTGATGTTTGAAGCACTATATTTCTAAGCTATACTTCTTATACCTTACGTAACACTTACAGAACATATGGAATCATTATGAGATGAGGAGAGACAGGACTAGAAGATAGAAAAAAAATTGCATATTAGATCTCATCCTGTTACGAAAATTGCGGCAACTATATTACCATAAAAATATTTAAAAAAATAATTTTTCATCTATTTTTTACTTAAAATGACGGACTTTTTATTCACTCGAGAAATATTTCTGATCTATTTAGGCAATAATTTTTTGTCTTAAATCAATGTAACTAGCATAAACAGTGCAACTTAGTAGATTACACCGTAACTACTAATTATGTTCCATTAATCATAAAACTTACAAGATTCTTCTTTAAGCCAAAATCTTTGTTCCCACCACCGGTATACTGGACGCAATACTACATTGGTTTTCATCGTATGCGTAACTTGTGCGTAACCGTGACTAATCTGTGCAGCCATCTGCTTAAACAACGTAATCCCTTGTTTCATTAGAACTGCTGCTTGACTCATTTTTCCCTAAAGCACTAATAATTTATACTAAATCGCAATTCTCAGCCTGAATGCATACTATTTTCACTTTCCGTTCATGATGAAAATAATTAAACACATTTACTGCATTTGACATCGTGTTGATTTGCGATTATGTCTAAATGATTGCAAAAACAATCATTTAAACACATATTAAAATAATTGTTTTTGTGGTAACTTTTGGCATTATAGTGATAAGTTGGAAAAAAGTCACAAATTAATACTGTATAAAATAATCCTTTTATTGACTGAAATACATCGAAGCAAAAATTCCCAAACAGAAGCAAAAAACCTTAAACTACTCCACAGATGTGATCTAAAACTTTACTTCCTATCTTCGAGAAAACCAAGCAATAACAATAAGAGTTTCCTTCACAAAACGCTCAACCAGTAAGTAGTACAGGTCTTGTTCATATAGTTACATCATTATAGCGCTATAAACTGTAATCCACGTCAATGCTTTGTGTTAAAAAAATCCCGAAAAACCTAACACATATATAATTTGACAAAGATATACAGTCCCTTGAATGAATGAAAAAAAGTGAATTAGAAGTATGAAAACAGTTGAACAAAAGTTCTTGTATTTTTCTTGAAATATAAGTATAAAAATACAAGATAACGAGGTAGACTGAGGTAGTGTTGATACGATGGGCTAAGTGAGGACACATAAAGACTGGAATCTTACAAGTGGAAAACTGAGCTACTAATATGACACTAATAGGTAAATGAATGCACTGGTATCAGCAAGCAAAATCCACACTGCACTGATGGCTTTTTAGCTGCAAGAGTTAGAAGACTCCTGTTGTTAATACTTCAGCACCAATTTAAATTTCAAAATGCATTATGAATACTTCTTAGTTTGTTGTCTTGTATGCAAATTAGAGAAGCTTTATTTCGTCACTTCTTGCATCTCTGTTATAGAATTTAATATCTAGAAGTGAAATAATACCTCGTTGTTTTTATTTTTTCCAAAAAAGTAATCAATTTTTGGCATAATATTCAGTCCAAACATGGTACTATACTGCAAAATTTATGATAATAAATTTAGAATTTCTCAATAATTACACTATTAAAGTTCATATTAATATGGGTGTGTGTGGTCAGAATTTCAGGAGTGCGCATATTTTCAGAAATGATTGAAAGAGATGCGCATCAGTTGATCAGCGCTAAGAAAGAATTCCTGATACATTTAAAGAATCACATCGTGGCAATGATGAATGCTAGGAAAGAGGTTTTGCTTCACTTGCTAAGAAATTGAGATGATTCAAGCTTTGAGGTTTTGCGCGAATTTTTCTCTATGGGAAAAAACATGAACTAGCTATAATCCTTGTAAATTGAATTGTAATTCAATTTAGTTATGATGGTAAAGTGAAAATCGCTTTTAAAACGATTCATTTTGTTGACGCTGAAATCTTTTAAATTCATAGACGTGTTTTAGTAAAATTTTTTTAGATCAATAAGTTTTCGTGGATCCTCCAAAAGAATTTGTATGAGAATAAGTGTATTACAGTTAATTAAAATGAAACAAGATTTTGATAGAATTAAATTATTATTTTTATTGCTGAGCTTAAAATGTAAAGTTTTCCTTGATTAAATGAAAATTTTTGTCCAGTAAAATAATTTGTGGTCTGTGAAATGTTAGTCTACGATCATGGTGTGTTGCTGAAATGATTTTTTATAACAGTAATCACCGCAAAAGTTTAACTTTCAGGTTTGTCATGGAGTTAAAGAGCTATTCGATTTTAATGGTAATAGTTTTTATAATACTAGTTCAACCGTAAAGCATGTGCAAGCAGTACAACTGTTGGTGAAATGTCTTGAAAAATATAAACCTCATCAGCATTTGGAAGTATGTAAATTTCGAAATAATTATAGATTAGACATGACTTCGGGAAATACCACTGCAGTTTTGCTGAATTTATGTATTCAAGGAAATTTTTTCCAAAATGAAGATTGTTTAAAAAATTTTTTATTTTCTTTAACGAAACTGAAAAAAGTCTTCATTTTTTGCTCGCACGAAAAAAAAATCCTTCAATGTTGAGATATTAGAAGCCAGACCATATACATTTTGTATAATTTCTCTGTTCAAGAATGCTTTTACTGTATGGAATTCATGTTTGGTTCCTACTGTATTCAAAATCTCTGAATCTACAGAACGTCAGAAATTCAGCAGGCATGGAAAGTTGCTTGTTGCTTGCTTACTTGATTCAGATGAGGTATGTTCATTTCACGCATACATTGCATCTTTCAAAACTAGGTTTATTTTTCCCAAATTGAAAATGTTTCAAAGAATATTCCACTTTTATTTTTGCATTCTCAAAAACGGCTAAATAACTTAAAAAATTAAAAGCCTTTAATTTGTTTTGTAGAACAAATTTTTTTTAGACTCATTCGAACAGCAAAAATTTTAAATTTATACTGCTTTTTTCTCGGACTATAATTTTTTGACTACATACTGCGAAAAGTTAAATTTGTTTTTATTAAATATTAAATGAAATTGCTGGACAACATAGAATTACTTGCATTTGCATTTATGTTTAATCTTAATGTTTAAAAATTCTTTTTTCAGTACACGAAAGCTATAATTTGCCTGGGACATGTTGCTCAGTTATATAAGGAAGATATTCCGTGCAAGTCATTGCTCACAAATTGGCTATGTTTTCTTGGGCACTGGTCACTCGCTAAGACATATTTGCTCCAAGAAAAAGATGTGCAAGAAATGGGCTCTGTTCATAAAGATATTATTAATAAAGTCATTGAGGAAATTATCTGTCTTCACGTAGATGAAACAGTAATATAGTTATATACTTCCCATTTTTAAGCCAAATTGATGTTATTTTTTCTCGCAGAAAAATAACATTACAATAGTTTTTTGTGCTCAGTAAATTCAATTTTTGAAAATATGTTGAATTAGATGGTGTTTTTGAAATCACTATCTTTCAGAATCATGCTTCTTGTGATTCATCTTCACAACATAAAAATACTCTTGACAATATGCGGTGTTTCGAAGATATTCTTGCGAAATCTAAGACAAAAACTTATCAACAATATGAAGCACAAATTCTTGTTAAACGAGTTTTACTACTTGCCAGTCATTTTTCTTGTGCTGATTTGAAAAACGTAAGTTGAACTTTTAAAATTTGTTCCGATTAAATGTATTTTAAATATTACTTGAGGGAATCCATTTTACAGCTAATTATTTTACATAATTCTTTGGTATTTATAAGAACATTAAAAATAACGTATTTTATAGGTAGTTTTATCGACTGCATTAGATAATAGAACAACTAGTAGTTTGCTATTGTTACTTGAGTTGTATATTTTAGTTTAAGAAACGCTTTAATCAGTTGTACTGTACTCGATTAACTATATTCTTCTAAATTAAATATATATTTTCAATTCAGTGAATATAAATATCTGTTCCCTCACTCATGTTGCGAGATATTTAATAGATTTATCGGAACATTTTTTAATTCTACAATGATACTGCAGATTGGCGATCCTTTGCAAAACATGGATATTATAAAAGCTCGTTACGAGACGTTAGTTAAATGTCGAAGTATCGCGTTTTTTGGTGATGAGATGAAAAAAAAAGATGCTAATGACATTACCTTTGATGGATTATTTTTAGGTGTTGGTGAATTTAATGAAACAAAAATTGATGAGTATTGTAAGTTGTTTTAGTTCTTTTCAGTTATAGCTCAGCTATTTTGGAATTGATTTTTTCTATTATATCCTTGGAAACAAGGCATTAAACTTTCCTTAATTTTTCTTCTATTCCATTTGTTGTTTTTCAATGTTTTTTTTTCTACTGAAAAAATATAAACCATAATAATGTACTTTTTTGCATTAAGTTGACGTGGTTCCTGTTTTTTGAGATCAGTTATGTGAGTTACGCTTTAATTTACACACTACAGGTGTTTTGAAAAAATTGATTTTGAAAGCATTTTTCAAAACTAACTAATTTGTAATTTCAGTAAAGTTAAATTCGGTTTTGGCAGAATATTTCAACACTGTAATAAAGTTATGTTTCAAATACACTGAATTCGGTATTCTACGAGAAGGAGAAAGTGAAGGACTGAAATTGTTCTACCAAGTTCTGAAAGCAGCGAATTTGCAAAGGTATGTTTTTCTTTTATACCATAACCATAGACTTAGAGTTGAAGTTTGTGAATAAAGATGTTTTGTTTGAAGTATGAGATCACAAGTATATGCAGTTTTGAAATTTAACACTTGAATCGATCACCCATATTTTTATTCCTGTCCAATCTTAACTTTTAACTAGGTGTTTGGCAGCGTTGAATTTGTTACTCTTGACATCAACAGTTACTCACAAAGACAATTTAAATGGTAATCCAGGACCTTTCCGGCCAATTGTCGCTTGTATCTGGAATGTTAGTTACTCTGTTGTAACGTATTTTCATTTAAAAAATTCGTGATGAATGAGTTTTTTGGCAAATTTGCAAAATATATTTATTCGTTTTTATAGTTTTCAATTATTTCATGTAAATACATATTTTAAAGAGAAAATCAGCGGAGGAAATCTGTTATTCGTCTGTTGAGAAAGCGGCGAATGAATACTCTACTTTGTTTTCCGAAAATCAGAAAACAAATCTTGATGGAACTGAATCATACAAGTGAATTACAACAAATATTATTTTCAAAAAAAAATCATGTAGAATTGAAGGAAATTACACAGTTTAATTGCGCTTTCACTGATCACAATCAATGTGTAGTACTGTATATTCATGAGAATGAATACAAAGAATGAAGTTTAATCTTTACAGTTACATAATTTTTAATTGATTAAGTCAAGTTAAATTGGTTGTTATATATAACAGAATCATTAACATACCCTGATCGATAAATTCAAACTGCAGTTTATTTAGAAGGAATGCTTTTAATAAAATTGAATTGGAAGAGCACGAACAAAATTGCAATTGTGTGGTCTGCACACTTTGTAGAATGAGACCACAGATGCGCATAGAAGCTGTATTTTCAAATATGCTATATCATCAGTATTCTTCTAAAATATTTCGTTTATTTTGCCGGAGGTGGTTATTTATCATTTCAAATTCTAGTGTATCTACTTTCTTCAAAATTATTCTCTATGTTCAATAATAAATTGTGTTGTACAGCTTTCGTTTATATAATTTCAGGATTCAAGAACTACCTCAGGAAACTGTGGCAGATATAATTTCAATGTGTTCCGTGCTTCAAATAAGGGCAACAAATAAGGTAGTTTTTTATTTTTACTCTGAACAGAAATTTTCACTTTTTAACCATATTTCGTTTAGTTATTCTGTACCAGGTAAGAGTATATTTTAGGTGGTGTCAGAAAGAAAGTATCCGCTAGACGCATTAGAACGTTTCTTAACAGCAACTATCAGATGGCTTCGGAGAGTCAGGCAGCTGGAAAAGGCAGAAATCGTGCAGGACGTTATAAAAGAGTCATTAAAAGTACGTAAATTTAAACTAATGGATGTGTAGATTGGGTTCGTTTCATTTTTAAAAATTTTCTTTGATGTTAGTAATATTCTGAAATTTTTTTTCCGATATGCTCGATGGATCCATTATATTTTCGATGGCAGTGGTTGACAATAAGACAGTTAGCTCGAAAGCCACTGGAAATTCCAAACTTATATTGGCTATGTCCAGATAAACAGTTGACAGGTGGATTACGTTCTCCTCTAAAATCTGTTGCGATGAATCTGGCTTCCCATTTCAATACCTTGTATGTAACATGATTTTGTTTTATTACAAAAGTGACATGCTCCATAATTTGATCTCTGATATCTGAACTGTTTTCCTTTTTAATCCACCAAATATCTTCATTTTTTGAATTTTATGTAACGTATTGATGTTAGACTTTCTTGAAGCTTACTCTCATTTTAGAGCAATTTGTTCACTCAAACCATCTGGCAATATTAACAAGACCACGAGCATAGGGAAATCAAAGCATGTTCATAACAGTACAACTCAAATTACTGTTAGCTACGTAGATGTGGAAGTGGAAGAAGCTCGAAAGGATTTCAGTAGTTTCTCTCATCTTTTTTACAGGTTCACTATCTTTTTGGAATTTTCAAGATGACATTAAATGCTTTTTAACTGCAGTTTTTTGAAAAACCAAAAAATTCATTTGTACCAACAGATTTAAAGTGAAACCAGCAAACTTTCATGCAATATTTTAAATCATTCATAAGCTTTGTGATGTTTGTAATTCGGAGTTTTAATTGTAGGGAGTGGCGATTTCACATTTGTTCTTATTTGGGGCTACTCTCTGCTTTCCCATCCAAGGCAGATTGGGTTAGCTCTGGGTGGAGTGCAGCGTACTATTTCAACGAAGCAATGTCTGTTAGTACCCGACAGTTGGCACGTATGATTTCCGACAAATCTATTGAAAATCCAGTCTTTCATTACGAAAATCATGAAAAGTTCAAAGAGGCTGTTCGCAGTTTACCATTTGGTAATTTCTCATTATTTCATAATTTTTATATTCAAGGTTTTGGGGAATCTTACAACTTCGATCGCACTTTTTTCTGTTTCCTATTCTTAGTTTCACTGTTATCTAATTTCTTTTTAACAATCTTGATTAATAGTTGATTAAAATAGATGAAGGATGTAAATGCAAAATTTAAGTTGTAATCACTGAAAAACATTTTAAATAAGTGTTGAAGGAGACTTAAAAGTGAAATTTCAGACTTGACAGTTGTGCAACTTTTTTTGGACTCGAGTCGGATACTTTGGCTCATTAAATTGTTTAGTCATCGGTCACCGTTAGTGATACCAATTGCATCAATTCTACAGGTTCCTTTCTTATAACGATGAATGTTAAAATAGTCTGTGTAAAGAATCATGGAAAAATAGGCTAAAATTTATTTGCAGTATAATTTGTTTTTCAATGAGGATGTAACTTTAAAAAAATGTGGTTTACTAAAAAAATTCGTTATTGACGCATAAACTTCTTAACTGGCAGATTAATTTTTGGTAATTAATATTTCATGCCCGCATGAGTATTTCTAGTGCAATCTATTAAATAAGATTGAAACAAAGTATCGTTTTATGGCTTAACTTTTAATCATTGTGGGAATTCAATTTGTCACTTTTGCTTTATTATTTCAAGAGAAGCTGTCGTTACATGAAAAAATGACGTAAATTGGATCATTTTTTTTTTTGTTAAAAAGGCTTATTTTTTTGAAGTCTTGATATTGCAGTTTCAAATAAATTTGAAATTGCAATATCAAGACTTCAAAAAACAGTGAAACTGAGATTTCAGCAAATTTTATTTTCAGGATAATCCAATTCTGGAACGTTTTTCAGCTTTATTGTTAGAAAATGATGCATCGGGAAATCTCAGTAAAACTTGTATTGGACCTAAAGAGTATTGGGTGATTAGGAAAAAGTTAGATAAGAAATTGGAGGTTTAATTTTATTGTCACGCGTGTGTTAGAAGTGGTTTTTTTGTGATGCCTTAGAATTTAATTAGAAAGCAAATGGCTACATAGAGATGTACGAAATCTTATTTAAAAGTTTTTCAGAATGTTATGAGTGGTAGGTAATAATTATCTACAAAGCGATTAAGCAGTGAATTTATAGGGATGTTTTATGTAAAAATGAAATTGAACTATATAGTTAAGAAAAAAGTCTGTGCTTTCTTGAATGAATCACCTCGAATACTTCTATTGAAAGGACATAAAAGAAGATCTTGCAGGAGCAGACATTTTTCAGATATTAATTAATGATGTGCAGTATGAATGGTTTGGAATTTTTTGCTATCTGCTTTTGCCTTCTGTCGTTCTTAGTAGTGTCCACATTTCAGTCGTGAAACAAATGCAGGGTTTTGGGTTTTCAGAAAGTTCAGCTATTGTACGTAGAACATTTAAAATTTTCAACTCAAAGTTTCTTGTTTTGTCATCATACTATTACTTTACATAAAATCATACATCAAAGAAATTTTTTATTATTGCTGATGTAAGAAATTGTTGTGTATGTAATTACAGTATGAATTAGTTTTAAATGGCTTTTCGAATTTAATTCATATTTTAGGCATTGGTTGAAAATTTGGACTTATCGGGAGATAGTTGGCGAGAATTAGTGGAGCGATTTTCAGTTCTAGAAAATATAAATGAAACTGTTATTGCCGACGTTATTAGTTCTCGAAATCGTTGCATATCTAAGCATGGAAGAGGATCATTCTCTCGTAATTATTCAGATAGCTATGTCTTGTTTTGTGTTTCACCGGTAGGTTAAGTTATTAAGTTATATGATAGTTTTATATGGACAGTTTTTTTACTACAAAGTTTTCGTCGAGCTGTTTTCTTAATAGGATATTTAGTCCATTGCGCTTTTTGTGTGTGCATGACTAATTTCGTGCTCAATTTTTTCTACGGTTTAGATTTTTCGAGGCAGTGGTTCTAAACAACAGATGTGTCATAATTTTAGTTTTAGGAATTGGCTTCCTTTCCGTTTGAACTTCTACCAGTGATTGAGTCGCACAAGCGTGTTTGCAGGATATCATCATTTCATATGTTACAGAAGTTGTTATCATGTTCGAAAAAAGTAAGCAACTTGTGGTTTAATTTTGTAAGCATTTATGATTTATGCTTGTTTAGATTCCAAAATCAGTAGATGGAAGGAATTCTTTCTATGTACTTGATCCTGGTGGCGATTTGACTGATACTCAGATGAGGCTGTCAAAAAAACTGGAAAAATTTACTTGTTGGAGAGGGACAGTTGGAATCGCTCCAAAGCCTGAAGAATTACGCGCTTTTCTAGAAAAGAGTGATATGTTTTTGTTAGTTTATTTTTTTTGGGGATATTTTTTTGTAACAAATCTCATGTGCATATTTTTGAGAGCAATGTGAAAATAAATGGAATCCTCATCATCTGCTGTTTCAAGTTTGCCTAATCTATTTTACTTGGATTCTATGAAGGTTAATAAGTTTTGATGGTTATGACCCCAATTTCAAACCACTAGAATTCTTTTTCTACTAGTTTACAACGCTTAGCTTTCATGTTACTTAATTTTCCCTAGTTATTTTATCATTATATGATTTCCAGCTACATGGGTCATGGTAGTGGCGGTAAATATTTCGGGAGGTCAACAGTGCTTCGAAGTAACATTCGTGCTGTATCACTTCTCATGGGTTGTTCCAGGTAAGGCATTTTTGGTTAATATTTTATTTTTGCAGCTTTTTTTCGCTTCTATCTAGAGAGTAACAAAACCTATTTTGCACTGAAAATTAAAGATTATAACAAAAAACTCTGGTCACATTCTATTGCTTCTTTTCAATTTGTAGTGTTCGCATAATTCATGAAGGTGAAGGATTTGATGGAAGAGGAGCAATACACGATTACGTTATAGCAAAATGTCCTTGCGTTGTTGGATGTCTGTGGATGGTTAGTTGCTTCTAATAACTCAGTGAAACTATAGATTTTTTGTATTGCTTGTTTTCATATAGCTTTACAATTGCTTGAATTGCTGATACATTTCCAGAAAAATACAAATTTCTTTGATGATAATCATTTCATTAAATTTTTCTAGCAAGGATAATGACGTAATTCAGTCTAAAACATTATATTTTCTTTGTAATTAATAAAGGTGTTTAAGGTCACCGATGGTGAGATAGATAGAGTGCTCTTAGCTCTTCTAGATTTTTGCTTTTCAGAAATTGAAAAGCAGAATGAAAAAAAAACTAGGTTAGTCTATGTAATTGAATAAAACATAATTTGTTTATTAAATAATAGAATTATTTACCAAGGATTGATTGAAACTTGATAAATGGATAACAAATAATATTTTGCGCCTGGATCATATTTGCATATGAACCATATTACATGATTTCAAAAACTTGATTACTTGCGCTATCACTTTTTTAAAAAAAAAACCTTGAAAGCAAAAATTTACTCTATCTATTTGCAGTCCATCATACAGATTATTAATAGATGGCATAGCATATGCTCGTACCGCATGCAAATTAAAATATATGACGGGTGGCGCCGTTGTCGCCTATGGATTACCTATTGTAACTCATCTGACGAATGATATGGTTACAATGAATGAAGAGTGTAATAGAAATGTAGATTTAAAAGAAGACGGTGCTTCCTCCTCAAAATAAAGAAGTTATATGAAAAGTTAGCTAAATTGTAAAAAATTATCTAGTTTTTGTAATTGTGAATAATGAAAAAAATTTGCTTTTTGAAGCTAAAATAGTTTGAATTGAAATAAAAGATTATCATCGATTAAGTTTCACTGAAAAAAATCGTATTAATTTAGATTGGATTCATTTGTTTTTTATTCAGAATCACATGCATTCTTATTTTCATATTTTTTTCTGTGTACTTTCTACCATATGTCCCGTATTTATCTGATGAATTATAAATTCTGCAGTTGAAGAAAGTTGAGAAGCGCTTACAAAAAATTGTGATGAAAATGTTTGTACGTTCATTTAAACTAATTATAGCGTTCAAGGAACAATTCAGAATCGTCGGTTATTCAGAAAACAGTCCAGAATCGTCGATTATCCTCATGGTTCAATGGAAACTTCAAGTTTTTAAAAACAGAAATTGAGAAGGAACTGTCTGGTGCAAAAAATTCAGTTGTGTAAAAAAGTACGATGTATTTTCGTCGCTTTATTGTAGGATGGCTGAATTGCCTGTTATTCTTTGGTTGATTGTTTGCAGTTTTCTTCATTTTTTTTAATTTTGTGACTGCAACTTTGTTTTTGCTCTGCATTTGTGGTGAATAGATTAGGTATGTATTCATTTTGTTTGAAGACACCTTTATGTAGTTTTACTTTCACATTCGCGATATCTTTGTGCTATAATTTGTTATAGAATTACAAATTTTCTCATTTCTTATTTATTGATGATGCTATTGACCCATCTAACCATTTAGTTTTGCAATATATGTTTCAACCTTTGTTTATTGATTCAGATTTTGAACTTGATCTTTCTATTTCCACTTTTTTTTGCGACATCTGCTGTTCACGAAGTGTAATAATTATCATGATATTTGCTCTTCTTTATCTTTTCCGAAAGTAATTCATTATGCCTGTGAGTTATACTTTGAAATGTAATCTTATCATGATATTTGCAGTTTTGCAATATATATTTCAACCTTAACATATCGATTAATGTTTAGGGCGAAACTGACATTAATTATATCATTTATTGCTCAAAGATTTGCTTCGAAAGACGTTGTAGCTTAAGATACTGCTTCTAATGCTTGCAGCCACATCTATTCGAGTGTATTCATTAAAAATAATTGTAACTTATCAGTGATACTTTGTTCGCTAGGTATTATGCATGTGTGCGTTCATGATATATTTTTGAACGACAATAAAACAACATTGTTGTTTCAGTTATCTGAAACTGTGCAAATCATTGTAAACTACGTAATTCTATGATGCAATAATCAGTTGATTGTCGGCAATCGAATTTTTTACGACTTTCAAGCGCTGGTTACTGCACGACCTTTCTCTAATGCTTTGCTATCTTAAAAATCTCTCATGAGTTAGCTCTAGAAGAAGCAGCGGTACCTTAACGAAGTTTGCGAAGGTCAGAGTATCGTATGAGAAAGTTTGTCTTTTGGTAGTCATTCTGAATTACAAAGAAAGGTAAACCTCTTATAGCTTCTTGAAGAATCAGAAGTTAGGGTAGGATTTGAATAGTGTGGAAGTATCTATCCGATAAATAGACAGAAAATTAATTCCGGCACATTTGATTGTGTAAATTGTGCAATTTATATAGGTATGAAGTGTGCCTTTGTTTGCTTGTTTATGCGTAAGCAAAACTGATCAAAACTTCAAGGATAAGAGATAATTTGGGACAAATTTTTCGCATGCGTTCATATTTAATGATTACTAAGCTATGCAACAGAGAACAGGCAACAGTGTTACTCCTCGGCTAATCAATTGCCTAACGTTGTCCCGTTCGTATTTTGCATATTTTATGGAAAGTTATTAATAGTATAGAAAAAAGAATTAAATAAATACATGCATTCATTGATAGACTAAAAAAAGTATTTGAAAGATTCGTCAAGCTGTCAAAATTTGTTGATAAAAACTCAAATAATAACCTCAACACTACTTTACTCAGTGCATGCATTTGCATTTACAAACCGTTTGTGATCTCGAACTTGACGAAAGTTCTCAGTTACTTATGTTTAAAGCATCAGTTAGATTTGTTTACAGAAGTGAATAAAAATATGAAAATTGCAAGTAAAATTCGTCCTTAATCTGCTACATTTTCAAACTTTTTTATTACTTATCCTTCATAATTTCTCTATGATTCCATTGTGATATTTCAAGAAGACAACTGCATACAGAATTTTCTAATTGTTTTCTCCATCCTAACGTATTTCTTACAACCTCGCATTATAACGTGTAAACAATATTTGTTGTTAATTAGCAGTGCATTAAATGCAAACACAAATCCCAATTTGCTTATGACTGCGCAGTGTGCTAATTCAGAATGCTAGTATCTTCTAAGCAAGCAAATATTTTATTTAACTTTATGATATCAGCATGGAATCATCAAGTTTAGTAGAAGAAATATGCATTTAGAGTGTTAAAAAAAATTGTGACAGCTTAATTAAAGCAATTAGCAGCCTGATATTCTCAGTTCATTACAACATGAAAATAGTAGTAACTAAGTGCTTAATCTGAACGAAACAATTAATTAATTATTCAATTATTTGCCTATTTTTTCCAATTCAAAAGTGCTATGCGTATGTTCGCATTTGTTCATTTCATAAATAAACAACTGATCGGTCTAATTAATTAATTTATCCCTTGATATTTGTAAATCGTTGCTATTCTTCCATATTCAATAAAAGGATAATCTTTGAACGGTCGGAGATTAAATGACTAACTTAGCTTTCCCTTTCACATTTAGCATTTTTTGATTCTGTCTAGGGAACGGATGAATAATTGTCTACGTCAAAGCGTTCATCCTTTTTTCTCATTCTCCTATGCATTCACATATAGAGAGACATTTGCAGATAACTCAATCTTGGCAAAATTTTTGTCAAAATTGACTGAATTTCTTTTAAAAGTTAAAATATCATTTTAGCAAAAAAAAAATTTGCTATATTTAATTGTTTTTATATTAAATTATTACGATTTAATAAACTATTCAAGATTGAGATTATCAATTACAGATTATCAAAACAAAAACTGAAATATTGCTAAAATATAATAAAGAATTTCTACATTTATTTACGTAATAATAATTAATAATAATGAAATAATTCGATATAGTACATACATAATTTCTTACTTTGAAGTGCGTAGTATAAGTTCCATCAATGACTGACTTGACATGTGAAGTACACGTATACTGGAATGATTCTTTAAATTACCAAAAATTAAAATCTTTTAATTTATTCAAATATTCTAATATGTGCTCAGTTAATTATGCCTAACAGATCACTAGAATATAGCATATAAATATATTCGCATAATTTGTCTTCTTGAATTATGAAATATTATCTGGAAAGGAGGAATGAGAGGAAAGAGGGAGGATGGAAACATCACTAGGCAGAGAAAACTAGAGTAATAGACTGAGAAGCGGGGAGACTGGCACAGCTTGGCACGGTTGAGTAGAAGGGAGAGAGAGAGGCAGCATGCAACTATTGGCGTTACGTCTATTCCCTCTCTCTCTCGTGCTCTCTCCTTTTATCCGGATCTCTTTTCTGTTGTTTTCTACCTATCATTCATTTATCTGTCTATTTATCTTCTATCTCTCTATCTATCTTCTCTATCTCTTCATCTATTTTTACATTTATTTATTTTTCTATTCTCGGGTCACTATGCAAATTACTCACAGAATATATTTATTAGCAGTGGAATATTAATTATCAATTTATTGATTGATTAAAAAAGGGATATTCTTAACATTATTGAAGGAAATGTATATGGTATGCATAATTGTTCGAATAATTAATATTATAGTTGATATGTGTAAGTTTTGTTTATTTTGCCATATAATCAGTTTATAATTTTTCCCTACTTTTCAAGAACATTTAATATTTATATTTGTACAGTTTAAGAAATATACCAGTTGTCCATTTCTTCAAGTAATTAATTGTTATTATTATTATTCATTAATGTAATGCTATTAGGCATGCATTTGTTTTGTTGCGAATGGTTCTTTCTTAAATTATTTCTAATATTTAGTTTGTGTATTCCCGAGCATTCAGTAAATGCATGAGAAGAAAAAAGAATAAACGTTTGTGATGTTGGACTAAGATTGTAGAAGTTGTACTAAAAATGTGAAAGTAATAATTGTTTCATGGGAAATTGTTTGATTGCTTTTCAATGATTCTTGAATTTTGCACTGTAAAGTATTGGTGAAATGCGAAAAAATTATTAACGTAATCACTTCGCTTTAGTAATTTAAAATCTGCTTGATAAGAAAAGAAGAGAAAGCATTTATTATTAGATAAATAGTATTCTTTTTTTATTATTTTATTATTTAAAAATATTTATTAAACTTAATCGTTTGTAATCGTATGTGCACTATTTATTCATTCGAACTTAACGATTATGTTAAAAGAATGCGAACTATTTTTAGTGCATTTTTTTCTTATTTATTTGTTTATTTATTTATTTTTCATCTTTCCCTAATTACTAATTGCTTTATTTGCATGATTAGTGCTGCTGATAAGGGAGTGACGAGTTTTTCTTGTAGCTAGTTTTCCGTGTGAATGTGCAGTGTGTCTACTAGTAGTGATATTTTTGCAAGGTCATTGCTCAAGTGAGTGATCAATTGCATTATGGATTTTAGATGTTGAAAAGTTGTTTGCTGCGCATGTTTAATTGTCATGTTTCTAATGACGATATCTTGTGCGAAATTCTTGAAAGAAAATGTAATTTTGACTAAAAATCATTGCAGTTTTTAGGAATTAGTATTAGTTTCATAAGGATTGAGGTCATAGAATACTTAGCACCTTTTGAGAAGTCAGCATTGTTGGGTCAAAGTTGACACTGTGCTTGTTAATAGTGAATGAATGAGTAATTGAAGAGTGCTTGTTTCTCGTGTCAGTCAGGAAATTATTGTGTACTTCCTCTCGCTATAGCTTTTGTTTTTATACTCTGAAAAAAAGAAAACTGTGAA